GGGGGGGGGGGTGTACGTGCACCCTGTGCTCCCCCTAGTTACGGCCAATTTATCAGGCATGTTTGAAAGTGCAATTTACATGAGATTCCATTAATTTGCATAATGATTCAGAGCATGCGCAGACGTTTTCACTCGTTTCTATAAACCGGTGAAAGCCAAAGATAACAATATAAGCTCGCAAAGGCACTTGGGATACTCCTGGATCCTTGTCTGCTCATGTGTCAATCAATATTACCTGCTAGTTGGCTTCCCGCTAGTGCGATAAGCAAGATGCCTAAGAAAATCATGGTTCTGTAAACAAACAATAATTAATAATCAATATGAATAGGTTAAAATAATCAATAATAGATAATGGATGATCTATTCCAAGATGTCCAAATATGGTGGGAATTATCAGTCACGTGTTTTATCCCAAACCAACAAATAAATATTCTAAATTAATAGGACGTTTGCATGATGGCGTCATTTGACTCCCACTACCAAGATGCTCCGCGAATTTTCTTTCTTATTTAAATTTGTATTTCCTCATGAGAATAGTAAGACAATTGGTGCTAATTCACAGAACAAAAGAAAGTGTGCAAGGGAGTCTGGTAGTAGAGGTCAATGACGCCATCAGGCAAACGTCCTATCAAAAAATAAAAAAAAAAAAAAGCCTTTGTACTCTGTGTGATATAAACACGCTGGGAGCTAAATTGCACGAGAGAAGCAAGCTTAGGGACACGAGGCGTGACCGATTGCTTCCTCTTTTCTTTCATATATAATTTAATTGTTTTAGCATTTTAAAATGATTAGCATAATAATCAAGTTTCCAAGGAGAGAGGAATTTTCTGAGCATAATTTGAATATAAAAGCTTACTGCATGGACGTATATTTTGGCAACATATATCTAGAAATAAATGAGAATTTTTAGTGCGTTTGTCGCAAAATGTGGGTTTTATAGTTTAATTACAGTGTAGATTATAATTATTTGATTTGTTTTCCTTGGTCTGACATTAACATTCGAGATTTTATAGTTTAAGACTCCCCTTAACAATTACTACACAGTTTACAGTCAAGAACATCCCTTTCATGTAGCTCACTCCTTAATAATGAACTTTTGTACATTTATACTCTTTCAGCTTTGATATAGATAACAAAAACTTAAGCAATAACTAAAAATTTCGAGGAAAAACATAGCGATAACTGGAGATTCGTGTAAAAAGCTTTTAATCTGTTCTCGAGTTAGGTACAAGTTTATCCAAGGCCCTAAGAAACATCCTTGTTTCATAAGAGTGTTACGTTTAGTTCAAGTCCATCCACTCAGTGGTTTTCCGCCACAAAGTAAAAACTAGTTTAAATCTAAGAATAAATTCTCGCCTTTTTTTTCCCAGCCACAAAATAAAACTTCAAAAATATTATCATAAATCTAATAAATGGGATATATAATATTTCTTTTAAAAATATTCCGTAACTTAAAAATTTAAAATTTATGCAACGTAAACAAATTTTTTTTGGTTCCAAATTTCAACTTTCTTCTTCACACTTCAAGTACTCAAACTACTAACGAAATGTTTTCAAATCTCAAATTTCAAAACATTTCTAATATTTAGTAACATATATCTTATACTCTTTTTTTATTAGGTGCAAAATTAGATGGCAACACTATTTTAAATCGGGAAAATAATAAGAGCTATATATTTTTACGACTTTAAACTCAACTTCAAAATATCACATAAGTTTTTGCTAAAAGCTCAACTTCCCAATCTAGAAAACGCTACGAAATTCAACCTTAAAAACTATCATACAATCAGAAGGAATATCTACCAAAAGGTTTCAGAAATATTCAGATAAATATTTATGCTTACCTGTTTAAAAGTCCAGAGGGTCTTCTCTGGTTTCACTTCCACTTCGTGTTGGAAGCAAACTTCGTTGTCACAAATGAGGCTTTCGTTGTTCAAGTCGTTGAATATTCTATAATCAATTGTCCATTTTGACAAAAGTTCGTTAAGTCTTAATGACTATAATTACCAGGCAAATACTGCCATTAATAATCTTTAAATTGATAAATCGTTTCAGGGATTTGCCAAAATTATTGTTTTTGTTGCTATTGGTAATACTAACTTCCCGGGGTTCTACATTCCAACCGGTTATTAGTTGATTACTATGGTAGCGAATAGTTGTTTCAGTTGATCACGTTTTTTTCCTTCTAGAATTGTTATTTATTTTTCGAAAGTTTTCGATAGTTCACGAAGTTCTGTAAATAAACGTTATGCGAAATGTTAGGGAAAAACTCTTTGAAGCTATAATTGTCGCTTCAAATCACATTACAACATAGTTTTTCCTCTTAAAAATAAGAGCTAAGGTTTAGGAATAAAAATTTATTCGTACATCTAAATTCCAACCCTTTTCTTTAAAAAAATGATTAAACATTCTGTTAATAAATATATTTTAGAGAAATTTGTGCTAAAAACTTAAAAACTTTGACTTCGAAAAAGAAAAGAGAGTACTTATTAACCATCTCGTGTCTTTTTTTTTTTTTTTTTTTGACTAAGTACTACTATTTTACATAGTGAAAACTAAAAATATAAAACTATGCGACGTCTAACTTAAGCCAAGTCATTATCAAGCGAAGAATAAACTAGTAAGCTTATACATATAAGAATATGAAAGAAAAATGTCTTTTCCTTGCATCTTTTCACTCATTACACAAACATGTATATTTTGAAAAAAATAATTTTTTTGTGTGTACAATAATATTAAACCTTTGAAGATTTTATAGAATACTATTTAAAACTAAATAGTACTTTTTCCGGGTTTGTATTGTCAACTCTAAAAAACTGACTCTTGCACAATAAAGCCTCTTGCTGAGGATATAAGATTAGACCTATATATAATTATTTATTGTTTTTAACTTAGTCGAGATTTTTTCTCAATGCTCAAGCCAATATAAACTTGTTTACGTGATTTTTATCGTTAAAGAAAATGAACCAATGTTTTTGAACAAAACTATTTTTATTTGCGAGCACTAAGAAAGGAAGGAAGAAAGGAAGAAATAAAGGAGGAAAAGAGGAAAAGAGGAAAAGAGGAAAAGAGGAAAAAAGAAAGAAAGGAAAATGGAAAGAAAGAAAGAAAGAAAAATGGAAAGAAAGGAAGGAAGGAAGAAAGAAAGAAAGAAAG